ACACACACGTGAGAAAGTTCTGGCCCACAAAAGCGGTTACCGGACGGGAGTGCGATGGTGTCTCGAGATTACAGCTGAAGAAGTTTGATGAAGACAGAGGAGTATTGTTAAAAACCTCTGACGATGGGAACTGGGCTGAAGCGACTCCAGTTACGTGTCTGGTGCCTGCGTTATATACTAACCAGCTCCATGGAGTTGAGTTCTTCTTGAGGAATTACCAGTCGCACAGCTACTAAAAAACTTTCCGACATTTTATGAAAACTGAGGGTTCATAACCGTGTTCACAAAATTCCTCCACAGGTCCCTATCCTGAGCCACATCAATCCAGTCTATATCACCCCATCCCATTCCTCTGAGATCCATTTTAATATTATACTCCAGTCTACGTGTAAATCTTCCGAGTGGTACTTTTTCTTTATAGTTATCCCACCAAAATCCTATGTCTTCCTCTTCGTCTTCATGCCCTGCCCATCTTATCCTCACTGGCTTGATCATCTAATTATGAGTACAAGTTATGAACCCCCTCATTATGCAGTTTTCTCCAACCTCCCGTCACTTCTTCTCTCTTCGGTCCAAATGTTCTCCTCAGACAACCTGAGTCTCTGCTCTTAATGTCACACCCGTACAAAACCAAAGGCAAAATTATAGTTTTGTACATCCCAATTCTACGGTTTTGTACAGCAGACGAGAAGACAAGGGTTCTTAACTGAATGGTACCAGGCATTACCTGAATTACTTGTATAGCGGCCTGGAATAGTCGGTTTCTGTTGGTTGTGGTCCAGTTAGTTCGGTTTCTTTCTTGGTCTCTTTGGTTCATCAGCTTTTTCGTGAATCAATTAGAGGGGGCACGCTGAGAATTTAAAGGTGAACTTATTAATTTCAAAGCACTTTTCGAGGGAACTGGAGTTAAAGATCCGATTTGGTGACATTTTGGGTTTACTCTTTATGTTTTGGTATCGGTCTTACACGCGAGCATTAAACGAAGGCGCGAAAAGAGATGGCGTTGCTAACGTAGATTGTTCGGAATCTTACGAGTAAATCCTTTAAATATTGCTATAGGCCGGTGATCGTGGGTATGAGCATTTGCACATCTGAATTCCTAGTTCGTGTAAAGATTGATGCATAACATGCTAAACTGAATTAAAAGTAATTGAATAATGTAATTTCCATGAAAATAACAAGCAGTGAACCCGAAAAATTAATAACGCTGGCGGTTTTGGGACCGCAGCTATTCTGTAAGTCGGAAGGTAGAGGGTAACTGTGCATTTAGCATTGAGTTTGGAGCTTTACATTTCCACGTGTGAAACTAACAAAACATTTTCCGTTACTGTCAACATGTCCAAATTCCCTTACCAGGCAGTCTTCAGATATTTACAAAGGTTCTCAAGGCTTGAACGAAGGAAGAATGGGACAATAGTACTCCCAAGTCGAATGCACATATTTTAAAACAGTTTCTTCGCGAATTTACGTTCCTTACATAAATCAATGAGATATGAAGTGACGGGATATTTGAGAAAACTACACAATGAAGAGCTTCAGATTTGTACTCCTCGCCAGACATAATTAGAATGATCAAGTCAAGGTGGATGAGATGAGCATGGCATGTAGCACGAATGGGGGAGAAGAGGAATGCATATAGAATATTGGTGGGAAAGCCATAGGGAAAGAGACAACTAGAAAGACCAAGATGTAAGTGGGTGGACAATGTTAGAATGAATCTTACAGAGCTAAGGTGGGGGTGCTATGGACTGAATCGATCTGGCTCAGGATAGGCACTAGTGGAGGGCTCTTGTGAACACGGTAATGAACCTTCGGGTTCCATAAATGCTGGGAAGTTCTTGAGTAGCTGCACAATTGGAGGCTTCTCAAGAAGGGCACAGCTCCAAAAAAATTAGTTACATAACTCAGTGAGGGAACCGGAAAAGCGTAGTCAGTATGGCGACTGGCTACGGGCTGGAAGAGTTCTAATCCCGGTAGGGTCAGAATTTTCTCTTCTCCACGTCGTCCAGACCGGCTGTGAGACTCACTCAGCTTCCTATCCAATGGGTACCGGGGGCTCTTTCTCCGGGAGTAAAGCGGCCGGGTCCTGAAGCACCTCAAACTAGTGCCGAGGTCAATAAAATGCGGATCTATACATCCACTCCCTCATATGCCATCATGGAGTAGTGCTTAATTAATTGTGCACAGGGACGAATTTACCTTTACCACTAAATGAAATAAGGACTGTAGGAACAAGGCCTTAATTAGAGCACGACACGTCCCCCCTTTCCTCCGACACGCAATGAAGTTGCAACCACTGCTCAGAGATTTCTTTCCGTACTTCTTGGCTCGCATCCTAAAGGCCAGGTCTGGACACGGACTGTGCTCTCTTTATGTGGCACGTTTTATGTCTAACAGCTAACGGATCCTAGCCCGTACACACCTGAGCATCTCTGGAGTTAGTTTCAACAGACGCAGAAATCCACGCTTCAAGTTCGTCTTAAGTTGCCCGCATGCCTTGTACATCCCCATACATGACGGTTCTGACATAACCCCACAAGAAAAGCAACGAGGCATCAAGTCTGATCAGTCTTGGAAGCTAAGTAATCGGGTATCCTCTCCCCATCCAATCAATGCCCAGGAACACACACACACACACACACACACACTGAGTGCATCATCAATAATGCAGGTGTTACCAGGCGGTACGATGAAGATATTCAACTTTGTTTTTCCGACAGCGAAGTTCTACACCATATTGTCAAGAGTATGAGTGGCTATAGACGGGGTTTGGATCGGTAATTGGATTTATTGAACACTTACAGAATGTAACTACAGCGAATATAGCTCTATCGCTAATTCACACACTCTACAATTCACTACAGCTGTATCTTCACCGGTTGTAGCCTGATAAATGCTTCCAACGCCAAAGCTTCCTCAGCTTCAGTGTTCATGTCCTTACTGGCTGGCGACTGTCTCACAACTAACTAAACTCTAAACTTGTCCTGTTTGTAACACCTCGACATGGACCGCACAGAAAACAGTTGCTGCATCACATAGCTGTCGCGCGGGGCGCATACAGAACGCCGTTTCCCAGTTACTCCATTTGAGCGCGTTACGAATCCGTTTCGGCCATTGTCTAGCATCGGCCGTTGTTTACAGAGTCATTACTTAGCAATTGTGTACGTGCTACAGTAAAGAAATAGATGTTTTCAGTGATCGTGGATTCAATAAATAGAAAAGGACCTATAAATCTGTTATGAAATATACCGCACCACATACCAATTTACAAATGCCACAAATTTATTTTGTTAATCGATATTTCACTGATATTTTTTCTTATTTCAGTATGTGTAGTTGTTAACCAAACGCAGCTTGCTAGAATCCTAGATTCACGCTCTGGACATTCTATACATACAACCTCGATGTTTCAAATGAAACTTATAAATCGAAATACAGACCAGTGTAACACCTGGTGAGAATTCAAAGGGCAGTCTCATCACTTGTTAATTTTGTAAATTTTCGTACTACTTATCCCCCCTTGCTTTCTTCCGCATTCCTTTACAGCCCTACATGTTAATGTATGATAAGTCGAGGCCAACGTTTAAAACCATCTCCCACGAATAACATGCATAATAGCCAATTGCGAACCGTATCATTTACTACTCTTCAAATATCCGCATGGAAATACTCGTATTGTTAATATTCACAGAAACTTATGCTCATGCTACGAGTTAACGCTCGACATGTCGTTGCTATGGTAACGTGAAGTTGCGTAATTTCAGAGCTATCATATTGTCATGATTGAAGTGTGTCTATAGACGGGGTATGGAAATGGTGAATGGATTTATTGACCACTTATACGCAGCACTCGGAACTACAAGTAATTACAGCGCAGTCGCTAATCTCCACACTTTACAAATCGCTACAGCATTCGCTAAGCCTTCTTTTTCAGCCTGCTGTGTCTTCATCGGCCGTTCCCTGGTAACGGCTTCTTAGAGTGGAGATTCTTGGTTTCACGCGCTCAGGTTCTATCTTCACAGCCTCTCAACTGACAACTAACTCCCAGGCTGGCGGCCATTTGACCCCAACCTCCTAGTCTTCTCATCACAGGCTGACTTTCAACTGATTGGTCAGAGTCAGAGTGACTTTACGACTGGCCCCCTTAAGACTCACGATCAGAAATCTTTTTTTTTTTTGACTGAGCCCTTGCGGTAATAGCCCTTATGTAACGTCTCTCTGACGAGATGGTGTTGTCTCTTATGAATATGCTTGGCCTTATGTTACTGAAAATTCTACATTTTGCACTATATACGTACAACTACTCGGCAAGGATCAAGTATGAAACACCGTTTTCAATAGTAACAGTATTGTTGCAGATGCATGTTTACCGCGCCGTTGCCTAGAAACGGGTTGCATAACACCGTTGTTTATTCGTCTATTGCATAGCAACGGCTTTCCACACTACAATATCATTACAATACATTATGTACACACACACACACACACACAAGAATGTGCGTCACATTTTCTGCCGTAAATTAATTGTACGGCGAAGAATTTCGAAAATTTGGTTTGGGATTTGTATGAAGCTGGCTTTACAGCTGAGTGACACGAAACGAAGTCAGCCCAAGAAATTTAATACAGATCGTCTGATACCAGTTTTTACCTAACTCTACTGAAAATTTGAAATGCATGGTGGATACTCTTTGCTATTATAGGTTAATTCCATATTCTTCATGCAGAGAACACATTAAAGGACAGAGAAGGTAGCCGTCCGCGCTTCTTTACACACGCATAATTCAGTAATATAAAGATGCAAAATTCAGGTTTCGAGAATCTCTCGTACGCAACCATTTTTCATGAAAATAACATCTGATGGCCGATGGCTGTTTGCAGATCCACCTACAGGGAGAATTACTACTATTTGCAACCAGCGCATGCGTACTCATAATTTTACATAGCAACGTTACGATCCACTTAACATAGAGACATGTTGATGAAATCCTTTTATGTTGCAGGTGACAGAGGAGGAGTTCACGAACTACTATGCCGGTTTGAGTGCCAGTATCGACGATGACGGGTACTTCGATCTCATGATCCGCCATGCGTTTAATCTATAAGTGTAATATAGCACAGTATTTTCAGTTTCAAAAACAGAAACATGCCTCAATAGAACAGATTCATTTTAAGAGGTCTGAATGATTCATTAAAGCCTTGTGACAAAGGTTGATACTTTATGTGTACGAGTATAGTATTGTCACGTGTGTATGGATGTGATTATAGACGGGGTTTGGATTAATGACTCGATTTATTGACCACTTACAGGTTGTACTACAAACAGCTATAACCCTATCGCTATTTTCACAATTTACAGTTCACTGTTATACGCACAAACTAGTCTTCTCAGTCTTCACTAGTGGTATCCTGGCAACGGGTTTTAACACAGTAATTATACTAGTCTCACTGTAACTGCAGCACACACTCTAAGTCTTCTCTTCACAACTTAACTCTTTTCTTGGCAACTGAACTGCCAACCCTCAAAGTCAAAGTCAAAATCAGAGTTATTTTATGACTGGCGGTTTGCCGCTAATCAGTTTATCTTGGCGTCACGCCCCTTGAAACTCACGACCAGAGATTTTTTTCGACTGAACCCTTGCGGTCAGTCCTTATGTAACATCCTCTCTTACAAGAAGATGGGGTTGTCTCTTATGAACATGCGTACAGGGTCGGAGTTACTTTACCACTGGCGGTTTACCGCCAATCAGTTCGTCTTGGCGACAAGCCCCTTGAGACTCACGACCATTATTTTTTTTCAACTAAACACTTGAGGTCATAGTCCTTAAGTAATCAAGTCCAAGTCCGGTGCGGACCCAACGGAAAACACGGTCTCAACAATTGTTGGGCGTTGTCGCGGAAATGTGTTTACCGAGCCTTTGAGTAGCAATGTACGTACGTATCCTCTGGCTCCACTATTCCGACTTTCAGGCGTCACGTCACATTATGTTAGGCACAGTCCATTGTCTGGGGTATATTTGATATATACAGTTTCGGAAACTGGGCCAATTTTCATCATCGGATGTAAGTAAGGGGAGAAAAGATCCCACTGAGTTCGATCTGTTGGAAATATCTAGTCTCGATCAAAGGACTGTAATCATTCGATCACAACTTTTTATGAATACTATTTTCTTGTTTGGATTTAACATCGGAACCCTCAAGGACGGATTTAAGGGGCAAACACAGAGTCAGTCGCCTCGGGACCTCCACAAAATAAAAATAGGACCCACAGATTTTATTGAGACATTTGCTTCCCTACAATCATGGGAAGTTGCATTGTGTTTCTGGTTGTTATAATTAGTAAGAACAACACAAGTTTTCATAAACTAAATTTGTTGTTCCTCCCCATATTGGTTGCACCTGGGACCTCCACAACTATAAATCTGGCCATAGAAATCGTATAGACTAATCTGTTTGGCTCGGTTTTAGGTTTATGTCTTTCCAGAAACGAAATGTTTTAGTTTAGATAATACTCGTACATCCCTTCTGTGAATCCTTTATACCGTCTTGACACCGAAATTTCTTCCACAAACATTTTCAAGCGCACTTGAGAATGGGAGATTTATAACCGCAAAAATTTTCTGTTCTTCGGATGCCACCCATTTTTATATATATCTCGTCCTTGTACTTTTGCCTCAGGCTCTGGCTGTATTGCGGCCGACTCCCTCAGCAGATCCACGTTGTCTTCGTACATAGATACACGAGTTTAAATCCTAAGGAGAAGAGTTACCATTTGCAAAGTAAGCTTCACGTTCAGCTAACGTCTGCCATTACAGTATTTTCCCATCAAGACACCAGAGACCGCTCTCATGACAACTGCAAAGCGGTCGCTTCTAATTTATTCATATTTTTAGACCAATCATGACTGATGGAATTTCAAAGAATTTACACTCATTTTCCTACTTTTACGAATTAGTCCCTTTGGCCTGCTTCCCATTGAGAGTTAACTTCTGAAGCTAGGAATCTTACAGATGGTTTGTAAGAATCCTAGACAGACACTGGCCTATTGGAAGCCTTCTACCTACACAAGAAAATACATATCCATTCTCCGAGTGGGATTCGAAATCATGATCCAAGTGTTCGAGCGATCGATGATAGCCCTTAACCTACGAGCCGCCACTAACACTGGTCAAGCGCTTATGTTATATTAAAGTTAGCAATTTTCAGTAGTACAGACATTACAACTTCAAGCACACTTGAGAATGAGAGATTTGTAACAGTACAAATTCACTCAAAAACAGTGAAAAACTCTCAAAAAACTGTAGAAGTCGATAAAATATTTGCGAACGTTATCAACCTCCCAAACTTTGTCTGTCGACCAAGATTTCTAGCACAGTCTGAATTAGGAACTTTGAATTTCCATAAAAACTTAAAATTTACTTCAGCAACAGTAGAACCTCACTCCTACACTATAAACTATCACTCAACATTTGCACACTTCACTGCAAGAAACATTAAATACCATCTCGCAATGGATTTTCGCCTATAAAACATTTTGTGGGACAATACAAATATTGCGACGAGTGGTACTGAGAAAACTGCAAGAACTCATTCCAAAACGACCCCGAGTTAGGAACTGCTGCAGCAATCGACTGAGAAATAGTAGCGTCCCTGTGACTGACAGATCTGCATCTCCATGATAGTCATGAACAAAATTAATGCAGATTGAAAATTTGAATACAAATCAAGGAATTCCAATTCATTCAATGGCCGAGGTTTCTAGCACAGTTCGAATTATGAGAATGGAATATTTTTCCTAAGATATTCCGGAAACAACTCTACACATATTAAAAGGTTTGAATGTCTATTTCGGAATACCCTTTGCCTCTCTCAGTACCTGTTCAAGCAGTCTGTTATGTAAAAAACTGTAATAAAGAAATGGAGGAAAGTAAGGTATTCTGTCTGTTTAGATGTTAAATAATAGACAGTCTCCACAAGCATAAAAGGGCAAAGTGGGGTTTGTGTCTGTAATAATTGTAAAAAGGAGATAATACGAGAAATCAGAAAGTTAATGTAGAAAAATCTAGGTAAATTAATTTAAATACTTTAATGAAAAATTTATTTTAGTAACTGGTGGATAATAACCATAGTGTATAATTCTGGCATTTGAAACTGCCAGAATTAAATATTATTACAAAACATGTATACAAAGTATATTAAAAGTTACAGGAACGAAGATTTATAAGAAAAATTGTAGAAACAGAACAACAATTTCAACATGAAGGGAAAAATAAGAATTTGGCTCAGATAATTCCATTTGAAGATGCTCTAACAGTAAGTAAAAGTGAAGTCCTTGTGCTTAACTAATTAAGCACTATGACATGAAGACACATGGGAGAGTGGATGTGTAGACCCACGCTTTCTTGACCTCGGCCATAGGTTGAGGTGAGTGGTCAGATATATAAAGTAAAATATGTAGACTGTAGAACATATTGTCACGTGTTGGGTATGTGACGCGACAGGTAACTTCACGCCGTATTGGATATGGCGAATTTATTGAACACTCGCATCTTACAATCACACAATTTACAGTTTCCCAATTACTGCCATCTGCAGTATCACAATTACTTATACTGTAGTCTCTGCCATGCACTCGATACAACTGACTTCGGCGGCTGCTACATTTTAACTCACTTCTTAGTGCAACTCCAGGTCACATTGCGACTGACGGTCAGCCAGTCAGTAAGTCTTGGTGTCGAGCCCCATCGGGAGCTCATGACCAGATATTTATTATTGTATGACAGTTACGGTCTTGTTTCTGTGGGGCACCATCTCTGACGAGAGGATGGGTCTGCCTTTTGTACGAGTATATGCTGCTGATCCTTACCAGCGCAGTCTTTCTCGGATCCGAGTTCCTTGGTACTCACGACCATATTTTATTGTCTCAGATTTGAGACTTCCCTTTTCGTCGCCTCCTACGAATCACAGGGTCACGATGGAGGTATTCGACCCCGCCTCCACACGGGTTTCACTCACTTATTAGGCAGTGCACTTCTCTTATAAACCCTCAGCCAGACAACGGGAAAACGCCTCGCTTCCTTCTTGCCTAGTAGCCGTGTTTACAGATGTTGCTGGCAACGCTATCGAGAGTTGTTTATTGTTGCATAGCAACGGCGGTATCCCTTGGTAACAACACAGCCGCTCCTCTGCCACGTCACCGCGGGGGAGGGGCGCCCACCGAGCGTTGCGTACTGATGGAAGGAGTGGGGGTATGTGACGTCACTCGCGAGACCCCAGAGTTCACGCGACCCCAACTTCCCGTTGCGCCATCCATGTCACAATATCAAGGAAAAGTCTATAAACTTACATAAAGCCAGACATAACAGAGAACATGATTATATTCAATAGAAAGTGCTTATAAAGGAAGGTTAATAATGTATGAATATGTATGAATAATGAAGAAAAATTATATATAGAAAATTATGGAATCAATATAAGAACTAAGTATCGTATTAAATATACAAGAAAATAGAAAGTTTAATTCAGAATTGGAATGTGCTTTTAGAAATTTAGGAAGATAAATGGTTTATAAATTTCAATTAAAAAAGTATAATCCTAGAAGGATATCTTTAAAGCAAGAAGTGATGAATTACAAGATAAAGGCTCCGCTTGGGTATTTCAAAGAGTAGAAATATTATTATTAGACATAATATTATCAAGCATACTCCTTTAAGAGTAAATTCTCATATAAAATTGTCCAGATGGATAAACAAAAGAAATTTTTTATAAATGTAAATAGCATAGGCAATAAACGTTTTCTGTGGCCTGTTTTATTAGAATTACGTTTTTTCAAAAGTGATCCAGAAAGAGTTACAAAATGCCAGCAGTACAAAAATTAACTAAATTTACAACATATTAATTTTTTCATTAAAAGTACAGGGCATCTCTAAATTTGAGAGTCAAGATACAATTAGCATAGCAATATTTCGTTATAAAATGAGAAACTGAAATGAAAAATACTGTTACCCTTTATACTATAACTTGTAAAAATTATATGAAAAAATATGGAATTATTGTATTTCACAGAAGCTAAAGGCAATTGCCATTATTGTTGAAAATGTTTAAATGAAAAAACACAAATTGACAGACGTACATAATATTTTTCTAAAAGGTGCCTAAAATATGCTAAAGAAAACAGACTAAAAACTGTAAAAAATATATGACCCGCGTGTGCAGACCATGCCCAAAAGGACATCATTTTAAAATTAAAAAACACTGATAGAATGTTAAGATATCAATATATAATTTGTGATTCTGAACCTGTCTTAGCACCAGAACATCTTTGTGAACCAGTCCGTTGGGTTCCTGTGCACAGAGGATGCAGCTTCATCTTGTGGTTTTGGAATTTATGTGGAAAGTATTTATAACATTAAAATGTGTAGTATGCATCTGTCGAGGTAGGGACACTGAACATATACTCGTATTTACAAAGATGATGATAACAGGTTATGTTAAAGAAATTTAAAAAAAAAAATTACAAAATATTCCGGCATCAGAAAACCAATTAGAATGATATAATCAAGGAACTAATTTATGTGTAATTGTTTTTTTACTGTTCATAACCCAGAAGTTCCTGACCATGAACATTTTAATGAAAGATACTCAGAAGCGTCCTTGAGTAATTATGATTTAAAATTTTAATAGTCGAAGTTTATTCAGGTAGTGTTTCATAATTTAAGTTCATATTTGTTAACAAATTAGGTTATGATAAATGTGACTTAATATTAGTATACTATAATGAAGAGAAATACTTATCTTCTAGTAAAGCACTGAATATAAATAAATAAAAATTTGCTGTTGTCGTTGAGTTTATTACACACAACTGTGCGAGACTGCACATCGTGTAATATCCGGCCGTTGCAGTGTGAAGTCACTTTCATTTTTTTATATATACTCGTACAGAGTGAACCAGGACCTCTGCGACAAACTCTGAGTAGCGATAGATCTCAGGGATGATCAGTTTTTGTCAAGCAACCCGTAATTTCGACGCGTCGCTTAGGAGTAATGCACCCGTCTGAAGCTTATCGGGTAGGTACATGTACACTTCGAATCTGTTTATGTTGATGATTATGTTTACAATGTTGCACCAATTTACTCCTTTTCCTCGCCCCCTACAGTTCGTCGGTGTAGGCAGTCGACTACGCTAGCAATTACTTGGTATAATCCATCGAGAATGGACGTTTTTTATTTGCGTGGTCAACGCGATCACTCGACTTAATGTCCCTAAATTTTTCTTTGGGGTCATGTGAAGAGTGCCGTGTACGACTCCAGAGAGGAACGCGTTGCTTTTGAACAAATTCAACAGATCTCAAATGTTGGACAGAGTCCGACAGTCACTGCTATGAGGGTGTAATTAATGTAATCAGATTCAGGGTAGACACTTTGAACACCTTCTGTAGACTGTCCGCAAAGGTACTCGAAGAAATAAATTAATAATTCATTTCGTAATTGTAAATGCCACCTAATACGTCTCTTCTCTTCAATGTCGTGTAGCTCATAAACGACGTGTCATAGAACATTTGCTGCTTGACAAAAAAAAATATTCTCTCGGTGAGATCTATCGCTCCTCAGAATTGGTCGCAGAGGTCCTGGTTCACCCTGTACATTCCTCTTTGCTGTCTCTAGTTTACTGTTCTCCTCTCCTTCATCTTCCCAATTTGCGCTTAATTTAGTATTCATTGCAGTGATAATCTAAAATCTAATTTTTTGATACCCATTATCTTGTGAAGCAAACATTGGGCTACTGCGATGTAATGTTCGTTGATGATGTAAAAAAAGTGGATTTACCTTTTACAGACGGGGGGTTTTCGTCCTCAAGTATCGTGTTAAACTTACGAGTACAAAACAAGTACTGATTGAAATATCTTCTAAAAGTACTGCTCACACAGTAAAGTGCTATGGGATTGAAACACAAATTTCCAAAGAAAAAATAATACAAGAAAGTATAGGTGTACGTAGTAATCTTATAGTCGCTGCCATAACCTCCCCAGAAGAACACAACCTGCCATAAATACCATGGTAAGTAACTTACAAAAAACACAGCAGTGAGAGCAAGTACGACCTTTGCTCCTTTCTTTCGAGCATGTATTATTTTCCTTTGTGAAACGGATGCTTCACCCGGCATCTCTCGTGCACTTTCAATCAGATGACAGGCAGTCAGCCCATAGAATACAGCAATCACAGACAGTGGAATGATACAAAACACAAAGAGGTTAAGCAAGGCTATGTTCCTTGAAAATTCTGGACCGTATGATCCTGCACTAGAGAAACATTTATCGTTCGTAACGTTGGCTGTGACGGCAGTTCGAACAGCAAAACCGAATGACAGAATCCAAATAAGAAGAATGTTGAAACCAGATACTAAACGCGCCCTTAAAGCAAGACGGCCATTATAAATATATACATTAGTGTTAACAATGCCACAATAACGCTGTACACTAAGCATCGTTACTGCAAATATGCTCAAACCAACTGCAAAATCACTGAAAAACCACAATAACTTGCAAAGAGCGACGCCAACGGTCCAATGATTGGAAACTAAGAGAGCGTAGAACAGTGGAATGTTGACTATAACGGATAGAAGATCGCCAATTGCCATCGTGAAGATACATGCGTTAGTCCATGTTCGCATGTCTTCTTGTCGAGCAAATATTACAAGAAGGGTAACATTCGTAACAGCTCCAAAAATGAAAATAATGCTCATGATAGAGGGGTCAAGATATCTTTTCACCGATAGAAACCTTTCAAATGCCTCATCCACATCTGTATACTCCACTGTGACGTTGTAGTCAGCGTCATGTAGCTGTCCATCACTTCCATTGGTGTTGGCTGGGTGAACCGAAGTCGTTAATAACGGTTTAACACTGGCAGTTGCGTCTTTTATATTTGGAAAGTGGACATTGTCAGCTCGAGAAACATTCATGACATTGCCGTGTGCAGAAGAATGTTCACACATTCCTGATGACAGAAGCAGTACAAATCCAATTGTCAGGATGCTCATCTGTGGGAAGAAAAATTATCGTTTGTTTACAAAATTATTTCAGCATCAGAAGTATTTTAGACATCGTCTAGGTACATTTCTGCTTTATGGTGTTTGTCCTAGAACTGTAAATTGCTATGGTTCAAAATCAAAACAAATTAAAGTACGTCTATAAGGAAGATATTTTGACAGTCAGGCCCAGTCACGTTACTGAGAGAACAAAATAAAAAAAAGTGGCTATTAAAGGAAAATCTTATTGTACACAGCACTGTATCAGTAATTAATACCTACATACATGCAGGTGGCGAATCTTATATATTCATTTATTTACTTGTAGTTTATTTACCACCTCTGACAGTAACTCATCAAGTAACTGGACTGTGAAATGGACATGTTGCGGAAGGAAACGGTTGTGTCATAATATAAGGTGCTATCCTAGCGGCCTCCGTAGGGGTAACGTTCCCACCTCATGACCCAAGGTATGCGGGTTCAAACCCGGCGGAAGTCGTGGAATTTTTAAGGGCGGAAAAATTCAGGGAACAAATCCTCCGGGAGAAACTTTAAGCCGTGGGTCCCGTGTCGTAGATTTACGGCACGTAAAAGAACCTCATGCCTCTAGGAGGCCTCTGAGCTAAATTAGGCCAAAAAGTTTCCCGCCCAAATAGTTTCCAATGCCTCCGATATATGGGGAAGTATTAGGTACCACTGCCAAGTAGAGGGTAGAAACCTCGCTCGCAGAAAGGGGCTGATAGCGAGCACCAGTATCGGTAGGGGATGGAGACGGTAGAAATTAAAAAGGGGGAAGTACAATAGACTATTAGTCGCGGTGCATGAGGAAACCCACCCCCTCAATACTGAATCACTGAAGGTGTTATCCTGAAACTTGCAACAAAGGCCTCAGGCAAGACAGTCAGTATGCCGACAGAGAACTGAACTATGCACCTCCGAATATAAGTCACAAGCATAACCAATTGAGCCATCCTATGTGGTATGTGAATACTTATCTGAAAGTTAGGTTATGCGGAAACGCAACCGCATGTCCCAGCAGAAGTTCCTGTCTTCAACTGCGATGAACGCAGCAAAGCATATTCTTCCGACACTCAGAAGACACGTGAATCTACACGCTTCCTGCGTCGAGTGGTAAGGCGAATTGATAAGAATGTAAGGTAAAGCGATTCCTGTAACAGGCCGTGGAGGCTCCTACATTTTTTAGACAATCGGCTCACAGATGGCGATAAGGTTGTCAGTCTTACGCGCCCGTCGCACTTTACCCCCAGGAAGATTACTGGCACTCACTCCTGTTAGAGCCTGAGTTGACCCCAGGGCCTAGTGCAGTTGGAAAGATTAGGTCAACTGAAAAATCCCATGACCTAATCGGGATCGAACCCGCGACCTCCCGGCTTGTGGCACAGTGCCTCAACCACCTCAGTCCCGGTCTAATTTTGACACAGTATCTTAGCATATAATATATGGAACTGAGGAAACCCAGCTCCTGAACAACTGTTCCGTTGTATTACGGTTCCTTCCGGCAGGGATCAGCCACTGTCTACGGCGTCTACGGGGGAAAAAATTAACAGTTTTGCGTTCCGCATATTCAGGATTCAATCATAGCATCCACTATTGAAAGATCTGAAATCCCGGTTACCATACAATTCGACACTATTCAGTCTGACTTGCCGACAGAATCGTAAAAGAAACAAGGAAAGACATATGAGCTACAAGATGAAGCATGCGCAGTATAGTCTTTTTCTTCATCCTGTTACCAAAAACGACGCGTTGAGACCACGTCGTGGCAGTTATGGCTACTGGACCTATATATCGGGCGTGGCGAAAAATCATCTCCTAGCCTTATTACAGTATTCTTTACCTCTGTCACTACAAGGGCTGAGACTAAATCCCCCGACACTGTAACGAAAACTGCCACTGATATCATACTGCTTAAAGAAAAAAGATATAAACGCAACGAAATTACAGCGAGACCTGCGATGTCGTTGTAGGCGTCAGATTACAGAATCAGACAACGTCCATGCTTGCAGCCTAAAGCTGTACTTAGATTGCTGCACCTATTTGGATTACTATCAATTAGTGAGAACGTAAACAAGAGAGCAAAAATTAATTTTCATTCAACAAGATGCCAACATCTAGGGGCTGTTAAATATAAACAAAAAAACTCTGTGGCCTGTAGTCCGCAAGAGAACTATATCGACCGAGCAACCGCGGCTTGTCGGCGAAGTTAGTGCCAACTGTAGCGGATAGAGGGTGTCGCGTCGTCAGCGCAACTAATCCCCATGGCCTCTAATTTCAGTTTTCTAGACCGGAGCCGCTATTTCCTTGAAATAGCTCCTCAATTATCCTCACGTTGCTGAGTGAACCCCGTTCCAGACCCACCACTTCTCTGAAAATCTGGTAGCGCCGGGAATCGACCCTGGACCTCTGGATCTGTAGCCAGGACTCTTGAGCACCAGAACACTGAGGCGGTCGAGAACATAAATAAACGAATGAATTAATTTTCATTCCACAAAATGCCAAAATCGAGGGGTTGTAAAATATACCTCCCATTAAATGGGGCTGACTCAGAATGCCGCTTGATTCGTCTGCGAAGTCTCATGGCCATGCTTATTAACCTCTGCAGTTGATATGGAGTCGTTAACACTTTCTCTGTTGACTTTAACTTAAAATATCATTTATTTTTGCGCACTTTGATGTTAGATTATTATCATTTCGGTAAGTATTGTTATGAATTTGTCAAGAAATGGCAGAAGTGTCTTTGTAGGCTATAGCAATTCAGAAGCAGTCTCTGATCGAGTTATCTTGCTCGTAACATGTAAGGAGTTAAATAGCCTACAGAGAGAATATCAGTTTTCACAACTCACCTCTACACACGCGTCGAGTGTAAAAGACAACAGTTACTTGGTTACGCAAGTAAAATATCACGGAACGAAACACTCAATGAGAGCCACAGATACTTTTATAAATGTAAATGGCAGTGTTACAGAACAGGTTGTTCGGCCTCTAGCGACAGACCAGTAGAACGTGGTCTGCAAGTTCACAACGCTGCACCTAGCAGTTGGGAATACCAGATGTGGTGACTGACGTCACGTCCCTTTCGTATACGATTCGCGGAACTTCCTAAGCACCACTGGCGTTTTTCCTCATTTGTTCAAGAACAGAAACATAGGATGTGATTTGTTCGGAATAGATTACAATCGAAAAAGATCAGAAACGGCAACAGCAACAACTAGGCATATGAACAGAAATCCTGATATTTTTTTCGTATTTTTCCTCAAAACTAATTAATTCGAATTTTAGTAGAATTATTTATTCAAAAGATTTATAAGTATACTTTATATACATAAACCAGGCTCGAGGCAAGAGGTAACTGCGTTGTTTCNGGGTTCCACTGTATTATAATAAATTGATTGGTGCAAGTCATAGTTGCTGTAATTTTGATTATTGTGTCCTGTCATGATGTACGCTTGTACCCACACATTCATTTTATAAAGTGCCGAGAGGGTGCAGCACTCCACAGCGTTAGTGATTCTTGGCAGGTGACGTTCAAAATTCTAACTACCAAGTTGTAGTTACTAGAACACAGGATGCTAATTACATTGGGGGAAAATTCGAAGAATATGAGGAATGGGGACTCTAAATAAATGAAAAATAACAGAATCAGTTGGTAAAGATCATTCAGAGGAACTGCAAAGCAACAGGAATACAATTCCAACATTAAAACAGTTTGAGTATTCAGGATCAATAGTTCAAAAAATAGTTCATCTGACCTTGAAATTTAAAAAAGGATCAGTGAAACGAAAATAGGTATTAGCATGCTAAATTCAATTTTGTGGAATAGAAATATTTTACACTCAACAGTGTCATTATATACAAATCAATAGTACAAAGCATTGTCACATATTTAGGGGTGTGCGATTATAGGTGGGGTATGGATTGGATATTGGATTTACTGACCACTTGTAGACACCACTCGGTACTACAGTTCACAGATTACTGACATGGGACTCGTGTCCTCAGTCTATTACAGCGTTCATTAGCAGTTTCCTGGCAACAGCTTCCCAAACTCAGGTCCTCTTGTCACATTCACCTGGCAGAACTCTTGTCAACTGACAACTCAACTGAGTCCCAAGTTAGCGGCCATTTCACACCAATCTCCTAGTCTTCTCTTCACAGGCTGATTTCAACTGGTTACTTCACATCACTTCACCCAAATGAAATCCTAACAACTCTCAAATGACTACTCCAGTCAAAGCCAAAGTCACATTGCGACTAATGGTCAGTCAGTCAGTAAGTCTTGGTGTTGAGCCCCATCTTGGACTCATGACCAGATATTTATTACTGTTTGACAGTTACGGTCTTGTTTGTGGGATGCCCTCTCTGATGAGAGGATGGGTCTGTTATTTGTACATCCTGCTGGCCCTTGCCAACGCAGTCTTTCTCAGGTCCAAGTCCCTTGGAACTCGTGACCATATTTACAGTCTCAGATTTGACACTTCCTTTTTCATCATCTCCTACGACTCACAGGTTCACAGTGGAGGTATTCTACCCCGTCTCCACATGGGTAAACTACTCCAGAACTAGACTGACCCTGCTTATAACATTTGGACATGAACTACATAGAAAACACCGTTTTTGTTGTTATAGTCCAACAATACTTTGACTATTGCATGCCTATCCATTGCTGTAGGAACCCATTTAGAGAGCAGTTGCTTAGTAATAGCCCGCGTATTGTTGGTGTGTTTACCAGCCATTACCAAGCAACACATGTTCCTTCTCACAGTGGTTGCATAGCAACAGCTATACATGATACTGTATATTAACATAATGAGCTGAAACATGGTCAATAAAACAGAAACACAGACATAATTTATAGCTACAGAAATGAATTATCTAAACCATTTGGCAAGGATAACACAAATGGACAGAATCAGAAATGAAACAATCAGAACAAAAATGGGAACGATGACAGACATAACTGGTAAGAGAAGAGAGGCAATTATGATTGTATGGCCATGTCATGTGAATAGAAGACTGCAGAATTGCTAGACGGTTTGCATAATAGAACTCACAAGGACAGAGGGGGCACAGCAGACCAGTCAAAACATGGAAGGACTGGATATGGGAAAGCATGCAAAGCAGAAAACTCAAGGGTGAAAAATGTTTGATTGAGAATTCTGGAGGCAAAAATTATATCTTGGGGTTGACGTAACCTGTATTCACAGAAACAATCTTTTAATAATAAGAAACCAAGAACCACAATGAAACTGCTTCAAGATTAATTGTCCGCAATTAATTCCTAAAGAAAAAACTGTGTTCTCAGTTAGCCTCAGTCACTGTAAAACAAAAGGTAAGACAGATAAATACTGTCATAAAGTCGAGTACTGTAAGATTCGAGAGTTAGGACTGGAGTTAGATTAAGGTATTTCAGTCTTAGTACGTTACAGAGAGAATTTGTGAAATTTTTGTGGTGTACTTTGTTGCGTTTGGTCAAAGTTTGAAGTGCTGCCGTAATTCGGCCAGCTGGCTTTAGGCATGGAGCTGTTGGCGCCCACTCAGTGCAAGGTACGGTGGCGTTCCGTGCTGGCTTCCTTTGACAAGCAACATGAAATTTACTAGCCAACAATCCCGATGCAACGGAGGAGATCAACTTAATTCGGATGGCGCTCGTGAAAATAGGACATCTCATCCAGTCTTCTTCACAGAAAAATGGCAACGGAGATACCTGGAAACGCCTGATAGAAAAAGCAGAGTCTGAGAAGACAATATTATGTAAACATCTGGACGGGAAGGCCCTGTTCACTGGAATGCTGCGACTCTACAGAGCAATACACAGGGAACTGGTGGAGTCTATCCTGCCGGAAACCACAAAAGGTACAAGGGATGCGCCCCACAGCAGACGTCAAAATAGAAACAGCGACTCTGACGACGGCAGCAGCAGCAGCACCAAGAAGGAGGCAAAGGGAAGATCTAGACCACTCCCAGTCTACCAAACGCCGCGGCCTGTAGCAACAAAGAATTTCTTTGCCCCGCTCAGGTCCGTACCCATGGATGGAACAGAAAGTGGTGAAGGGCCATCTACAGAAGAAGACACTGGCAAAGGCAGACCACCACCTATAATCCTAACTTCTGAGGCTAACCTCCTTAGCCTTCAGACAGAAATGAAAGCTGTTGCGACAAGGGAATTCTTCTTCCGGAATACGGCATCCGGTACCCAAATCACAACCAAAAATATGGCAGATTATAAAGCAACACAAAACCTATTTAGTCAAAAGGGTCTCTCATTCTTTACCTTTTACACCAAAGGAGACAAACCTGTGAAAGCTGTTATCAGGCATCTGCCGAGTAACACCTCGCCAGAAGACATCACAGTGGCCCTCCAGGAGCTGGGCTACGAAGTCATCAGCATCAAGCGGATGACGGCGAAACGTCCTTCTCCGACAGGAGGAGACACCCTCGTATCCCTTCCCCTTTTCCTTGTCACCCTGGCGAGAAACCATAAATCCCAGGAAATCTTCAAAATCACCAACCTCTGCGACATAATTGTCAAAGTAGAGGTTTACAAATGAAAAAATGGTCTCACCCAGTGCTACAACTGCCAGCGTTTTGGCCACATTTGGGTCCACTGCAGGCAGCCTCCTCGATGCCTATGGTATGGGGGTGGTCACTGCCACCGTGAATGCCCAGAAAAGGAGAATACCGAGAGCACCCCAAGATGCTACAACTGTGAGCCGAAAGATGGGGAATCACCACATCCAACCAACTACAGTGGCTGCAGTCATGCGAAGGAGGAACTGCGGCGAAGGAAGAACCAACGCGTGACAAATCAAGGGTCTTCAGGAAGATCGTTCTTCTCCAAATATGCAACAGCCGAGCGGACGTTCGCCTCTGTTCTACACAGCTCGGTGGAAGCGAAGCAACCCTCAGCTCGAAGGCGTCTAAAAGTCCCCAGAATCAACAAATCAACATCAAAGTTTCAGGTCAGTCAATGCAGGAAAAAATTGTAAAGAGTAATGCAACAGACGATATGTTCGTTGCCTTCACTATGGTGCAGCAGATTATGACAGGGCTCTCAGGTGCTGCATCAGAAGAGGAAAAAGTTGCAGTTATCACCAAGGCTGTTTTTAGTCTACTGAATCGCAATGGTGGTAACAGTTCATAGGCCTCTGAAAGTTGTAGCGTTCAATGCCAATGGCATTGGGAGACAGGCCTTTGAGCTACGAAAACAGATACAAGACCTAAAAATATATGTGGCCCTTTTCTCGGAGACACATCTGAAACCACATATGAGGTTCTATATGCCAAATTATCATATATATCGGAATGATCGCCAGGATGGGCATAAGGGCGGAACTGCCATTGCAGTCAAATGGGAATCCCATATACTCATGTTGACCTGCCTCCCCTCCTTTCAGTAGAAGCAACGGGGGTCTGCATACCGATTGGTCATACTGAAATGCTGCTTGCATCTGTTTATAAATCTCCACTTAGAGCGTGGAGAGACGCAGACATCACAGAGCTCTTAAACTTTAGAACAAAATCCATTTTGGCAGGTGATCTGAACGCAAAGCACCCTCTTTGGAATAGTAACGTCGCAAACCCTTCAGGTTTGAAGCTTTTAGATCTATTTGTTAATTGTAATTTTGAAATTTCGGCGCCACAATGTCCTACCCACTTCGTTCCTGATGGGAGAGGTGATGTCCTGGACATTGTGGTCCATAAAGATGGTCGGTTCTCAGAGGTCAGAGTTCTGGACATCATGGATTCAAATCACCTACCTATAATGTTTTGCATCTTGGATCATGTTAAAGCCAGGGAAATCTTGGATCCGGTTGAAAAATTCACAGATTGGGAGCGGTTTCAAAGCCTCGCCTCTGCCCTAGTATCCCCAAGAATCAAAATTAATTCATGTATTGAAGCTGACAAAGCAGCTCGCGACTTTGCAGCCTCTATAGCATCAGCATATAGGCTGTCGACAGAAACAACCACAATCTCATTTCGTAATCGAGGCCCATCTGG